TCATAAAAATTATTTTTTTGTACAAGGTTTCAATATTTCCAGAATTACTCAGCAATATTTCAGAATGTCCCTGCAATGTCTCCAGAATATCTCAACAATATTACAAGTTGGTGACATAAGATATTGCAGAGACATTTCTAGAATATCTCTGAGATTATCTCCAAAATATTTAATATTGCAAATGTAATATTCTAGAGATTGCTGAGATGTTTTGTGCTATGTGGGATATCCATGAGATGTATTTCGGATATTTGTTCTGTATAAGTAAAAATCTGTATCACGCGTAAACATTATATGATTGAAGATACAGAGAAATGAACATTTATAATAAATATTTCAGATTTTCAGAGAAACGTCAGATTGTTCGGAGATCGTCATCGGCAACTGACTTTGGGTGCGACAGTCACACAACGGCTCTCGGTGCTGCAAGTCTTGCCATATTCATACGAGAAAACGTCGAAAATTTATTCGGTTTGCTTCAATTCTAAATTGTTTTTACTTTAATTACACTTTGCGCTTTGTAAACCGATATAAAGTCTACAAGTCTATTTCAACGTTACTGTTTATCGACATATATTGTGCAATATCATTGGTTTGATTTATCAGAACAAGAGAGCTTGACGGATAAATTTGAAGGATCATACATAATTTATTAATATAGTGCTTTTTATTTAAGTTTTGCTTTTATAATATTATTATTTATATAAATAAAAAGTAGAATAGATAATACAGAATGGAGATTTATTTTTATGATACATGAGCGACTAGATATTGATTATTACAATATATATGAATAATATGAAATTATATCATATATAATCTGTGTATGTACTTAAACAAACTCGCTTCATATTTTTATTAATATCATATTTTCCATTTCTTTGGAATAATAAGGAATAATAGGGAAACGAGTTAATTATTTGACGACATAGCAATCTTCTTGACTTCATCTTATTGTTATTGGCAGTATCTTCCTCGGACAACTATTTATATTACAAAACATAAGTTTTAAATTATTTTACGATATTATAAGTAAGCTTATCAGTAAATTGTCAGTTCGTCGATTATCTGTATCGTTTTATTGATTTATTTATAGATTATAAATATAATAATCTCTAGCAATATACTATTTATATATTAATTAAATAATTTTTTAATTAGTTTTTGGTTAATTAGTTACAAATATTGACGTACATGGAATATTTGAAACTCTGCTCGAAACAAAGTTATTTATTATTATGAGAATATTTGTGTTTGAACACACGCATATATATATATATATATATATATATATATATATATATATATATATATATATATATATATATA